TCAGCTATGGGTGTGGGCCCTATCGTGTGCCACAGTGCAAGCTCGCAAGTTTAACGCCTTGCTCAAAACTGGCCCTGCGAGTTGCCTTGCCAGAACGTCTTCAAAAGAGCCGAGTATTTTAGCATTCATGGAAAGTCTCGCCGGGAAAGCACCTTCCCGTGGAAATGTCAGTGGCCACATGAAATGATGCTAAAGACCAGAAAAGATTCCTCACGCACCCCCAACACAGCCTGTGAGCAGCCCTTCCAGATCTATTACCTTTCCTCTCTTCACCCCATTAATTTCTTTGCTCTTAACAAAATTGGGAAACATGCCAACGATTGAGCTGGGACTGTTGAGGCTTCCCTTTTTGGTAGAGTGGAGGGCTCATTTGGCAAAAGACATTACAGACAGGCTGAAAACAAAGACAAGCAAGCAGGGGTTGGTTCTTGATCAAACCTTTCTGAAGTTCAGGTCCAAATGGGGACAAGTCCAACGTTCAGAGGGCTGGCAGGGACATTTCCTTAGACTAAGAACAGAAGTTCCAAGAGAGGTCATCCCAGATGGACACACAATGGACCATCCAGCATCTCCTGATTCCTCCATGGTGGTCCCAGAGAAACCGTGTTTTAGCTTCCTCCAACCTGTCTAGCTTGGCTCAGAGTGCCCAGATGAACTGATCTGGAGTAGCGGGTCAAGAAGCAACAGTGAGAACTGAGCACGGAACCACTGATTGGTTCAAAACTGAGAAAGGAGTTTGGCAAGGCTGTATACTGTCGCCCTGCCTATTTAACTTATAAGCAGGGCACATCATGAGAAAGGCGGGCCTAGATGAATCACCAGTTGGAATTAAGATTGCTGGGAGAAGTATCAACAACCTCGGATAAGCAGATGATACCACTCTAATGGCAGAAAGTGAAGAGGAACTAAAGAACCTCTTGATGCGGGTGAAGGAGGAGAGTGCAAAAGTTGGCTTGAAATGCAACATTAAGAAAACTAAGATCATGGCATCTGGTCCTCTCACTTCCTGGCAAATAGATGGGGAAGAAATGGAGGTAGTGACAGATTTTATTTTCCTGGGCTCCAAGATCATCATAGACGGGGACTGCAGTCAAGAAATTAAAAGACGCTTGCTCCTGGGGAGGAAAGCTATGGCAAATCTAGACAGCATACTAAAAAGCAGAGAAATTCACCCTGTCGACAAAAGTGTGTATAGTCAAGGCGATGGTTTTCCCAGTTGCAATGTATGGCTGTGAAAGCTGGACCATAAGGAAGGCTGAGCGCTGAGGAACTGAGGCCTTTGAATTGTGGTGCTGGCGGAGACTCCTGTGAGTCCCTTGGACTGCAAGGCGATCAAACCACTCAGTCCTAGAGGAGATCAGCCCTGACTGCTCTTTAGAAGGCCAGATCCTGAAGATGGAACTCAAATACTTTGGCCACCTAATGAGAAGGAAGGACTCCCTGGAGAAGAGCCTAATGCTGGGGACAATTGAAGGCAAGAGAAGAAGGGGACAGCAGAGAATGAGGCGGCTGGATGGGGTCACTGAAGCAATCGGCGTGAGCTTAGGTGGACTCCGGGAGATGGTGGAGGACAGGAAGGCCTGGAGGAGTGTTATCCATGGGGTCGCGATGGGTCAGACATGACTTGGCGACTAACAACAACAACAACAACAAGCTGAGCTTGCTAAAAGGAGGAAGCAACGTCTGAGGAAGCATCACAGCGCAGGGTGGCAGGCAGGGACCGTTCAGGACTGGATGGAGCTTGGCTGGTGGGGCGCATGGCTGTCTCAGCACCATGCGCAGCTTCCAAAGCCTTGTGACTGTTGGTGGGTTCATGCATTTGATGAGTGTTCTCTGCCTACTTCTAGATAGCCTTTGTCTGATGCCGCAGTCTCAAGATCTTAGCGTGTGAAGGAGATGAGAAAGGCACTGGAGGGATGCCACTGGTCCAAAGGTCTCTGGAGAAGCCAGATCCTTCAGTCTGGATGGTCCCAGGGGAGAAGTTCCGGGCGAGTTCCTCTGTGGGCTTCTCTGACCCACGGAGAAGCCTCAGAATATTTTATCTTCCCCCAGTCGGTGGACCTGGAAGCAAGGAGACAGGATAGTGCCTAACGTGCCACCAAGGATCTGACTCGCACCACAGGGCACCTGCTGCCTCCAAATTGCACCAACGTTCTTCCCACTTTCTCTGCACCTCCAGTTTAAACCGGGACACCGGGATGGCGTGGGTCGTCCCCTGTGTGAGGTCCATCTCAGCTTTTCACAAAGCTTTCCACAAATAGTAGGACATGCAACGTTTCACTGTGTTTTTATTCTTCCCAGCTTTTCACTAGTTAGTTTTTCATTCTAATTTTGAACAGGTTTTAATTAGCCTTCCTAGGTCATTTCGAAAAATTCTGCCAAATGCATTGACGGATTTTTATCTGGGAAAATAAACAGCCAAGAAGGCCTGCAGTGATGTTGGACAACTCCATCAAGAAGTTGTCTGATTTGGGCTGCACCCTAACACGAAGCCTATGGCCACCCCCCGGGGGACTGGAGCTGGCTTACTGCTAGGGGGTGGGTGCTGGGTCATGTCCACAAGGTATGGGAGGGGAGGTCTCCGTGCCCTGTGCTAGCCCCCCGTCGTCTGGCAGCGTGGAGGATGAGGTCCCGTCGTCAGCATTGAAGGCAGGCGCATCGCGCAGCCCAGACGGCACTTCATCCATGGCATGGGTCGAGGGGCACCTTCAAAAGCGAGGCTGATGGTTCGGGTGGTGGCCTGCATGTCTTGTCATGATCAACCAGCCAGCTACCGGAGGGGAAGGGGAGGAGAAGCTTGGTCTTGTGTGCCATTGCTGACGGATGACCGGCTTGTAGTATATCATCTGAGTTTTGTACATGGAGGAACATTATGGATGGGCTTGGAAGATGGTCCAGAAGCACTTTTGTGCGTGGAGGAACGTTATTTCTCCAGCTGGCTGGAAGAGCATTTTCCGCAGACCGCTTCCATGGCAAGAGGCTGGGAAGGGACATATATATGGACAGGTGGATTCTGCCAGTGCTGTAGGCATTCGAGTGGAGCTTCCACATGCCCACATAGGCAATCTCCATCAAGGCAGTGAGGAGGCCTCCCTGGGTGGGCCAAAGGGAAAGGGGCATGTCTGAATTCCCAGAACACGGGCATGGTTGCATTGTGGTTGTTTATGCAACAATATTTTTGATCCCCACTGCAAAAGTCAGTTCAGAACAACCCAAGGTCCAAGATCTCTTCTGGCTGAAGCCAGAGTGCAGGACACAGAATCAGTTCAAGCTGCATCAGCCCAGATTCAGGCTGGACATCAGGAAAAGCTTCCTCTCTGCCAGAGCAACACAACAGTGGGACCGGCTGCCTGGAGAGGGGGGGCTCTCCCACACTGGAGACATTCAAGAAGAAACTGGGCAGCCCTCTGAGTGGGAGGGTGTGGCTTGGTGTCCTGCACCAGCAGGGGGTTGGTGCCGATGGCCTTCCTGGCCCCTTCCCACTCTACGATTCCAGGATTCTGTGAACTCATACAGCACATGCAGAATGGCTCGATTCATAGGGAAAACCAAGCGCTGTATTGCAATATGGATAAAAACAAACTCCATCAAAAATTGTGTAAATGTTGCATGGAAAGTTTCCGACCACGACACTCAAAATTGCTTTCCCTCCCCCCACCCTGGCCAAGCCCAGAATGAGCCCAAGCAGACTGCCAGCATCCAGCTGTAGCTCCGGTTCTCTGGTGCTGCAAAGAGGCAGTGTTGCTGCCCGGCAGGCTCCCTTGGGGACCCCGCCCAGGACAGGCAGGGGCCAACACAGAAAAGGCCCGTTCTTGAAAGGCCTCTCTCAGGGGCGCGATGCTGCGACGTCAGCCGCAGGGTCACACAGGGGGAGGAGGCCCGCGGAGGACTGGGATTCCAGCTGTAAAGGGCTTCCTGCTTTCTGGAGCTGTAGATTTGGCTGTCTGCCAGAGGGCCCCCCCCCCCATCCTTCCAAGCTACATGCACTTGCCCATCCATTCCTCGCCCCTCCAGTTGACAAAGGAGCCCTTTGCACGTTCATCATGCATAGCCTATTCTTGCTCCGGCCAAGAGCGTGGACGAGCCCCCCCTCACCCTGTGTCCGAGGGAGAAGCATCTCAGCGCAACCACTGCAGTTGTTTCTCTAGTCTTCTTAAACAAACGGACCGAGAGGCCATGGATGGGGACGCAAAGCCCCGCAGTGGGGGGTGGGGGTCAGTCTCGGGGGGTTCAGATGCATAGGACCCATCAGGACCTCCTGGTTTGCAGGAAATGATTTCTTCTCCAAAGAAAGCATTTCTTGCAAAACTGCAAAAGAGAAAGAGTAGCAAAGGGAATTGCAGGCGAGGGGGGGAAGGAGAGATGGAGATGAAGGGACGAGGGAAAGGAAGACCAAAGAGCATTTGTGAGTGAGTTTCTGTTGATCGGCTTGTGATGCAGACCTTCGCTTCCTGCTTAAATATTTGCAAAGAATGAATTCACTTGAGCAACGCAGGCAAAAGAAGCCTCGCATTGTTCTCCAAAGCAATAAACGTGTATTATTGCTCCTGCTTCTTTTTCCTTCTTGACTTATCTGCTATAAACCTGCTGGCCTCCGTGGATGAAAAAGAGTCTTTTTCGCATTGCAAATTCATTTGTGATTACTTCCCAGCAAGACAGAAGCCAAAAGGAGAATGCTGAGCGGGAGGAGGGAGCTATTAGTGCACTCACGGGAATTCCAACATTTGGAGGAAGACAAAAACATCTTTTCAAAAATGAAGGGGCCGCCTCTTCCCCCCACAATCGCTCAAAGAGGACTGAGCATACTCATTAAAAATTGAGTGCTGGATGCCGGTTGAAAAAAGAAGCATAAAACTTGGGTGGGAAAGAAAGAAATGCCTCTCTTTGGAGGGAATACTGGCTGGGACCCTGAGCAGTAGCACTTCCGCTCGGAGACAGAACACGTTGCAACATTTTGTTCCTGATCCCATTGGTAATAATGCTTTTCTTTCTCTGTTTAGGAATGAGATATAACATGGAATCTCATCAAACCAGAAAAGTAAGTTGTCTTTGTGACTCCCATGTGCATTATTGGAAGGGGAAAGGGAAGCTGCGGAATGGCAGGGGGGAAAGCGCCAGCGATTAGTGAAAGAGAGACTGGCGAAGGAAAGATGCAGGACTACTCTTCAGAACATACGTTTCCTTACTAAATTCTCTGAATTTGTTAAGCTGTTGAAATGTAGCTTTTTGGTAGTTTATTAGGTCAGATAAATCTGATGCAGTTTGCCAGAGAAAAATTTTGCCTATCCACAGTTGGCATCGAGTTTGACAAAGACAGAAGTCCCCTTTCCAAGCCAAGCTGGTATGAAAGAAAGCTTGGCAAAAGTGCTCCATCTAGTGGCTCTTTCTTGTTCACACCAGCGGAGAGCCATGTTTTGCTTTTCCGAGCTCAAGCCATTGGAAAGATGTGCTTGCTGGCCATGAGTCGGGCTGTCCCTGGAACTTGCAAAGCAAGCATTGCGGGCAAGGGGTAGATATGATCAGATCTCTTTGGACTGGTTGTTCTGGGGCCCCAGCAATTAATAAAATCTTGCAGCGGGTTTCCTTTTCATCCAGGCCTGCTTGCACAGAACTGCCCTGAAGGATCGTGCTGGGTGCACCGGACGCCTGCGCAGGGTGCATCTGGCCCTCTCAGGCCAAGGGGCAAGTTCTGCTCCAAAGCAGCTTTCAGGGACTGATTCCCAGCGATAGGCCTGGCCAAGGCCAGGAGCAGCAGGTGAGGACGAGGCGTTCGATTCCATAGTTAGGCTGGACTAAAACAGTACAAATCGCTCACACCATGAGACTGCAAGCTGTCCGGGCTGCCGAATGCATTCTCATTTTGTAACTTCTCGGTCCTTTTCTCCCATCAGGACTGCTCGTCCAGTAACGATCAGGATGGGAAAACGCAGGGAAACGCCGGCGATGAGTTCCGCCTTGCAGACCACGGGGGTTCCTTACTCTTGGTGCAGAACGGGCCTACGAGGCATCAGGGCACCGGCATGAAGAAAAACTTCTTGGCCATGATTAAAGACCACCAAGGACAGGGCACCGAGGTTCATCCTGCCAGAACTCACAAGCGACGGAGGCGATTCGTCATCAAAAAGAGTGTGATCCCAGCTGCGGCAAGCGACTCCTTTCTCAAGGGATCTGCTGTGGAATCAGAGGAGAGACGCGACGTCAAATGGAGGGGCCTCTATGAGACCCAGCGCGAGCGGAAGCGGATCATGCGGGAGACCTGTGTGAAGTACAGGAGCAACAGCAAAAGAATCATCACGCCATATCACGTCTCCAGGATATTTGTCGAAGATAAGTACAGAATTTTATACTGCGAGGTCCCCAAGGCCGGGTGCTCCAACTGGAAGAGGGTGCTGATGGTCCTCGGTGGGCTGGCGCCCTCCACCAAGGTCCTCCAGCACAACACCGTGCATTATGGGAATTACCTGAAGAGGCTGGATGGCTTTGACCGCAAAGGGATAAACCGCCGGCTCAGCACCTACACAAAGATGCTCTTTGTCCGTGAACCTTTTGAAAAATTGGTCTCGGCGTTTCGGGACAAATTCGAGCATCCAAACACGTATTACCACCCTGTTTTTGGCAGGCCAATCATTTCAAAGTACCGCCTCAATGCCACGAAGGAGGCACTGAGAACAGGCGCAGGGGTGACTTTCCACGAGTTCATCCAGTACCTTTTGGACGTTCACCGGCCCATGGGCATGGACATCCACTGGGACCACGTCAACAGGCTCTGCAGCCCGTGCTTGATCGACTACGACTTTATAGGTAAATTCGAAAGCATGGAGGAAGATGCCAACTTCTTCCTGCATTTAATAAACGCTCCACAAAATTTGACTTTTCCTAGATTTAAAGACAGACATTCTGACGAAGAGCGAACAACCACACAAATTATGCAGCAATATTTCACACAGCTTTCCCCTTCTCAACGGCAACGCAGCTATGATTTCTATTATATGGATTATATGATGTTTAATTATTCAAAGCCTTTTGAAGACCTGTATTAACCGTGCGAGCGCTGGGCCCTAGGAAGACACACTCTTCCCAGACCTGCACATGTGTTCGGGTTCTCAGAGTTTCTCCTTGATATCCATTTCACCTGGCTTGGGTTCCTCGCTGAGGGCATCTTTTATTTCCGTGGGGGGGGGGGCTGTAAAGTGCACATTCTTCCCCAATGGGAAAAAACACATTTTAATGCACATTTTCCGAGACTTAAAGTGTGCTTTTTTCCCGTAGGCTAACATATGAAAATGCAGATTGGGGGCTGTGAATCTGCACACGTATACAAATGCGGAACTCTGCATCTGTGGACTTTCAAAAGTGAGCGCCAGTTTGGGAAAGGGTGAGCAATTCCCAGGAACTGTATTCCTGCTTGTGTTTACCTTCAGGGTTGTGAACAGGATTGAAATCCTTGTGTATTCCCCGCAGGAGTCCTGCAGCAGATACCTTACGGAGCTCTTCGTTTGCGTGTTTGCATAGCAGAGGTCCCCAGTAAGTCGTGCCCGTCTGCAAATGCAGTTACGGACAAGTCTCAGAAGGTGAAGTTCAGCAAAAGGGATAAACCTCCTATTTTTCCAGTGGAAAAGCTTTTCTTTTTACTCTTTTTAACCTTCCTAAACATGGGAGTGGAATTCGGGTGTGGAATAGGAAGCTCAAGCTCGAATCCCTCTCACAGAGCTTGGTGGTCCTGATCCAAATGGGGGGCATGTGTGCTTACACAGGAGTAAAGAAACCTATCGGGCATAGCTGCCCCATTCATCATCAGCAGAACATTTCTTCTGCGGGAAATTCCACAGGGAACCCTGGAAAAAGCCGTTTCCCCTGAATGAGCTTGCACATTCAGGAAACTCATCCTCCTTGGGATTTTCAAAGATTCTTGAGGATTTCCATTCTCACAGGGATCCATCGCTTCCTGTTAGCCCAAAATCATTTTCCAGGAAGCCTAAACACAGTCCGTCACCTTCAAGTTAGGCTGAGCCCTGCCGAGTCAAGGGAGAAAGCATCTTCCCTTGCCATGCCGGTCAATGGCACATACTAGGCATTTAAAAATTGCCTGCCACAAAAGTCCTTCACAGGCCCGGCGCAAGAAAGACTGGACATAAGCTCCAATTAGTGATGTGTATGTGTGCACTTAACGGTCTCCATCCCCTCCTAATTTTTTCTATGATTTCTGCATTTGTTATATTTATCCATCTCTTGTCAGGGCTGCTAATAAAGCACATTTTTTCCAATATGTTGTCGGCGTATGTTTGCATTTTACAGTAACGCGAGAGCGAGTGAGCAGTACTGAGCGCTCCCCACGACAGCCTCCTTAACAAGAAAGACAATCAAGATTTTGCAGAAAGATGGTGAGCAAAACGCCGCTTTATGGAACTGTTTTGGGTCGCCTTCGGGGAATACCGGGGTGGCAGTGGGGAGACTCATCCCATATTAATGTCAGGTTTCGAGGCTGCACCAGTGGAAGGCAACTAATATTTAATGAACACAGGAGTGCAAAATTAAGCCAGATGTTGGAATTCGCAGGATATGAATACATTCTCTTCCATCTACAGTCCCCTTATGGCACATTCAACTGCAGGAAAACGAAACAGAGCACATTTACATCTTTATGCATGCTATTAAAATTCTTTTAATCCTTGGCATTAGCATAAATCTTCAATGTAATCTATGTAGTCTCAGGGAATATCAAACGTTGCCTTTAAAGTAGCAAATAAACTTAGATGCAGCTTACTGCTCATCAGGGGTCTTTATTTTTAATGGTCACAAACGGTTGGCTGGCCCACAGAAACCTGCAAGTGCAGTTCAAGGTGCTGGTTTCCTCCTATAAAGCCGTGAGGACCGGGTCACGTCCACGTGCTCCGTGAGTGCCCTGTTGCTCAACGTACCCGTCAAAGCAGAAGGGGGAAGCCGTTTCAGGACAGGCCATCTTGCTTAGCAAGCGTCTCACCCGTCAGGCAAGCACGTCGCCCTGTGTCACAGCAAGATCGCTCTGCTCGGAGGCAGCGGAAGCTGAGAGGCAGAGCTCCATCACAGCTCGCGATGCCTCCTCCTCCGTCTGCCTGTGCAGCTCCCCCATGCAGTGCGGAGCTCATCACGCATGAACCCAAAGGTGTGGATTCCATTTGCTCGCTGTTTGGGGGAAGAAATTCTGTGCATCTGTGGGGACCTTGGCTCCCACGTCCACCTCTGAGGCGTCCAGGGAGTAGGGCTCCAAGGCAGGGGTGATACTTCGCGGACCAGAAAGTGGGTCCCTTGGCCTTTGTGGCTGGTAGACCCATCTTCACGGGTGAACTGGGGCCAGTCTGCTCTTTCGGCTGCGAGGTGAAAAGGCCCCAAAGGGCAAATGCTGTTTTGGGATGCATTAACGGAAGTATGACTTCCAAATCATGAGAAGCAGTAGTTCCTCTATAATCCTCACTAGTCAGACCTCACCTGGAGTTCTGGGTCCAGTTCTGGGCACCAAGATTAAAGAAAGAGGCAGGAACATTAGAAAGGGTCCAGCGGAGGGCAACAGAAATGACCCAGGGTTTGGAAACACTACCCTGTGAGGAAAGGCTGAGAGAACTGGGCATGTTCGGCCTTGAGAAGAGAAGGCTGAGGGGGACATGAGATCCCTCTAGAAGTCCCTCGAAGAGGGAGGTCAAGGTCTCTTCTGGCTGATGCCAGAGTGCAGGGCACGGAAGAATCAAGTCAAGTTGCGGCAACCCAAAGCCAGGCTGGACATCAGGAGAAGCTTCCTCTCTGCCAGAGCAATACGGCAGTGGGACCAGCTGCCTGGAGAGGCGGGGGGCTCTGCCACACCAGAGACGTTCAAGAAGAAACTGGGCAGCCCTCTGAGTGGGAGGGTGCGACTTGGTGTCCTGCAGCAGCAGGGGGTGGACCCGATGGCCTTCCTGGCCCCTTCCAACTCAACTATTCTAGGATTCTATACACAAACTCACCCACTCAACAATCCTGCCTGCTTGCTGAGGCATCGCTCAGAACTGCAAGTGTGGGGAGGGGGCAAAGGGAGGGGAGACTTGAGGGAGGGAGTTTCTCCGTGCCCGACACCTGCTTGCTAGGCTGGTGCGTTTCCTCCCAAAAGCAGCGAGACTGTAAGCTAAACCTCCAGGGCCTGAAGCATCTTGAGAGATTGCGAAGGTCACCTGCCTCTCACAGGAAGAAGGCCGATTTTGCTCTGTCGGTGTTTCCTTGGTGAAAAGAAGGAGCTTTGCATTTGCTCACTTAATGGCTTTAATATCCACTGTTCCTTTCTGGAGGGACACAACAGATAATGGCGGCGGCAGGAAATGAGTCTCCAAAAGGCAATTAGATTGCTCCAGACCAAAATGTATTGAGATTACAGCTCTCCATGCTGCGGGTGCTAAATAGGGATATTATGCAAAAGGAAAAGGCAAGATTTTCCACAGCTTGTTTTTGTGATCTGTGCGGCCACATCTTCCATGCACTGCCCTCCTTTGGCAAAAGGACACAAAACACAAGATGTTCTTGCGGGGCAGGAGTTAAAGTAGGGGAGGAATCCCAGAAAACTGTCACGCTGGCTGTAATAAACAAACATCAGCAAGTTGTACTGGACAGGAAGAGAAGTTGGAGCATTCGCAACTGGGAAGGTTGACACTGGGCGAGATATGAACAATTTTAAAAAGCACAAGGTTGCTTTTTTTAGCGAACGTACTTTGGTCTCTCCTCCAAATGGGATGTAGCCCCAGTTACAAGCAAAGGTACTAATCCGGCATCTGGAGATTGACGTATTTAGCAGAACACTGCAACTGGCACCCCTTGAAGTGAAGGGGACCTCTCTTCCCACAGTGCTGAACCTCAGCCAGGGGCCAAATCCATACCCACCAGGTCTCAGCCTGGCCGCTGCGATTCTGTCCTCCAACTGCCGGCTTTCCTGCCTCCTGCTGCCTCATCCCCACTCTGAAAGGCTGAAATGCCTCTTCTGGGGCGGAGGTGCTGATAGGAAAAGCTTTAAGCAAACATCTGCTGGAATTTCCACTCTGCCCCCTTTTATTCCATTCCTGGAATGCGGCCTCAGGAGCTTCTCCAAAATTGGATTTGGCCTTTAGGCTGGAAGACGTTCTGGAGTTGGAGGGAGGGAAATGAACCTGTCCCGTCAGGGAAACCAGCCATCTTTCTGTTCTTGCCAGGAAGGGCTGAGATATCCCTGGAGAGTCACAAGGAGATGAGTAGTACGTGAGTAGTGATTTTCAAATCTTTGAGTGGCAGGCAAATCCTTCCAGGTGCTCAGTGCCTGGGAAGAGAGCACAGTTCTGGGAACAGAGCGCAGCTTCCACCCTGCAGAGCTGGGCCCTTCGAGGAGCCAAGAAACACGCCGAAAGGGGTTGGGGGATTTGTTTAATGGGAAAGCTTTTGCTCCGACGCAGATTTTTGCATCCCAAATTTGTGTTACCTGGAACATAAAAGAGCGCAGGGACCCTGCCGGAGCAGCAGCCAGAACTGTGGTTGTGGAGCGGGATGTTTTATACATGGGGTTCTACATACACGTGCGCAGCAGAAATGCAAATAGAAATCATTTTTCCAAGGGACCAGCCTCGTTCCACAGCAACAAACCTGCTGGAAAATCAAAGTAAGGACAGTGTGAAGGAAGGGCCACAGTCTGTCATGTCCACCCGGGTTCCATTTTGGTTTGAGCATCATTTCCAAAACGGGAAAACCCTCAGAACATCTGGCCCAAACCCCTGGAATGACACAAGGATTCTTATGGTGAAATCACATCTGTGCCTGCTGGCAAGTAGCCCAGTAGTCCATTTTGCCCAGGGAGACCTGCTCGGGTACCCGGGCGTAGAATTGCAGTGCAGATGAGGGAGCTCCTAGTGGCTAATCCGAAGGCCCAGGCTCCTCCAACGGACGCCACGTGTCCTTCCTCTTGCCACTGCACCATCCACAACGGCCAGGCTGGCTGAGCCTTCTTCACCCATCACGAGGGGCAACGTGAGGATGGATCCCCCCACTCGCAACATCCCTCCCTCTCCACAGGTGAAGA